CAGTAGCTCCTTGTAAGAGGCTGGCCATACCCCCTACAGTTCCAGCTTAAAATCCTCATTCCTGATTTGGCGGCTTGAGGCCTGCCGCCGCTTCCTTTGGAGATGAAGGCTCCCCTTCACCTGACTGGGTTCCCTCATTGTTGATGTCAGCAATACTTCTTCTCCTTATGGTATTTCTCCTCCTTTGATAGGTCTTCTTGCTTTCTCCTGGGCTGAAAGACAGAGATTCAACGGGTATGGTAGATGGGGTAAGAAACAGAGGAAGAGGGTTAGTGGGATTGTCTCTGGTGTCGGGCTTCCTTTTTTTCTCCGGTCGAGTCCTGATCTCCCCTCCGGCAGGTGTCACCGCGGCTGCAACTGGTGAGAAGTGGGTCTGGGAAAGCATGTCGGCCTGGACCTGAAAGTAGGCTGCTTCCTGTGGGCTTTCGAGTTGTATTACTTGGGCTTGCACTTGGGTAGTTTCCGATTGGGTATACACCGCTTGCTTCTCTTATTGACCTGTCTGGGATTGGAATTGGGCTTCTTTGTCTTGGGCCACGTTCTGGATGTACTGGGAGTAGGTTGGGCTGGCGAGGGTTAGGGACAGGCCCATTTCCCTCAGGCCAGCCAGCTTGTTTCTCGGCCTCTCTCTGCCTGTTAGGTCCAGGCTCTTCTGCAGTGCGATTGTCGCTGCCTCCATCTCCTCCTCCATGTAGCCAGTCTGGTGGGCGGTGCTGGGATTCCTGGTGGATTCCCTCTGAATCCAAACTGGCCCAGTCAGTAGCTGCGGTTCTTCAGATGTCAGAGCTGGAAAGCCTGGGGGCAAGAGGAAGAGCCCTGCCCTGTGCGCCCCACTAGCGACATCAGCGAAGATTCCCCTCTATATCCTCTCTGCCTGTGGGCCCGAGAGCTTTCCAGTGCCAGCTGCTTCGATTTTGCTAGCTTTTCCCGGAATTACGCCGGCGGAGTGTTCGCCGGAGAGTCGTGTCCCGCCTTGAGGGCCGCCGTATAAACCTCCGAAGGGTCAATGCATAACCCTCTCCTTCGATGATCCTCCCTCAGCAGCAGAATCGACTTCTCCGCCTCTCGTGCTTCGACTCCAAAATCTGCTCAAATCAACTTCCATAGAGCTTGGCGAGATTGACCACTTAGATTTCATTTTATTCTTATGCCCTTTTGGGTCTGCTAGCTTGTTTCTTAGGGAATTAACAATCAATTATTTCCCTTAGCAAATCCAATCGACTAGAACCCATCAAGCAGTAGTGGCAGACCTAAGGTTGGGCCACTCCAGGCCCCGGCCTAGCCATCCTCCGGGTCTAGAGCTAGTATAGTACTTATGAATTTTTCGATTTTAGGTATTCGACCTAGTGTTATTTAAAAGTCGTTTCATTGTTATTTGATAATAGGATTTTTTGTAACTAGGAAAATGGTCTAGATGAACATATCCCAACGTCCAAGTCTAAAATTTTAAAAAAAAATAAGTATAAAGTTTCATTGAAATAAATTATAAAAACCTTTAAACTAAAGCTCATCATTCCCTGTCAAAACTAAAAAAAAATCCTCCAATCCCCCCAAAACAAGAATGAGGAGACAAACGGATACGAAACGAATTCCTCTGCCAGTCCGTCGAACACTGGTTTTCTTTCCAGTCTTTTGATTGAGAAAATATTTACAAACTTGCCGAGTCATCATTTAAGATTGCTTCAGTTGAGTGTGCACTAGATCCTAACAAATCTTTCTGGTATTTTGATGAAGAAAATATTTACAAACTTGCTCAAAAGTTTTGCCTCGAGACTTTGAATGCTATGAGATGCATTCTTTGAAGAATGAGCTATAATATTATGCCGCTCATGTGATTCATAGTCAGGAATATGAACTTTCTTCCCTTGCAAATTTACAAGAGAAGCTGGCGGAAACAAGGACGGACGCACGATACCAATTGATTTGTCGATTGATTCGCCTAGTGTGAACCTTCCCCATTTCAATGATAACTACTGTGAGAATATTTTCAGCAATGAAACATGTGAAATTGATATGCGCAACAAAATGAGCGATGACATTCTCGTTGATTGCTTACTTGTTATCCGAGAGAGAGAGAGAGAGTATACCTTTGGTATAGATGACAATTCTATTATTAACAGATTTGCTAAATTAAAAGACTTTCTTTTACAATTAGCATTGTAATATTCTATCCAAATGCGACCCACTCTACTATGTTATGGATCCGCCGCTGTTAACGAGAAAGCAACATCCATCGTTGTCCCATCGCACCAGCAACTACCACCTCTGTCACCACCGCTTCTGTTACTACTCCGGCGAAGCCTACCTAGTCGGATTTTCAATCTGCACCGGCTCAAGCTCAATCCTTGGCGGAAATAAATCGGTAGCGTTGGCTCCAATACACATGGAAGGAGGAGCGGAGGTTTGATGTCGATTCTCTCCATCCGCCATCACAAATTTGGCTACTCCTCCATCTCATATATTAAGTAACAACAAAAAACACAAAAATTTGCAGATCTGGGAAGAGTTACAAACGTCGACAACAACAACTAATCGGCACCCATCAACAACCGCCAATCCATACAAAATCAGAGGTAGATATGTTTCCAGACCCTTCGTCTCCAATCACATCACTGACCCACCTCACCATCGCAATTGCCATCATCATGACCATCGGCAAACAGAGAGAGGAGGGAGGATGGAGAAGCCATGCAATTTTGAGGCGAGATTGAGAGCCCAAAGAGAGATAGAATTGGCGACAGAGGCAATTGATTTCATGGGGGGACGCCAAACCACAAAATCTCTGCGGGTGAGGATGCTTTAGTAGGGGAGGCTTCGATGGTGGAGGAGGTTAGACGAAGGGAGGGATTTCGAGATTTTCCATAGTGGATGGTTTGGTTTGGTCGAAAGACAGTGGAGGGTTTTGGGAGACATAAATGTTTATTATTTTTATTTTTTTCATGAAAACCATTTTCCACTTGGTATAGCTTTTGACTAAAAATGTCAGGTCAACAAAAATCATTAGTATAGTCAGCATCCGCAATTGGTTTGTTAACGTTATGAATGGAATTGTTATTTCTCTGTATTTTCAAAAAATAGCTATTATTGTCCAAAGTGAATTGTTACGGCTATTCAGCTGTATTTTTTAAGAAATTTATACTAAATTCATTATGTTTGGATTTTGATTCGCAAATTCATCATTCAGATCTAGAGATGGCAAAAATATCCGTAACCGTGCATATCCGCCCGAATTCGACCTAATCGGGTAGGGTAAAGCACGAACCCAAAACACTTTTGGATATGGGTAAAACCTGAACCCGAATATTGTGGGTAATGGGTGGGCATGGTTTCCAACCCGAACCCGCCCGATTATACACATGTATATGTATTTTGTCTAGAAATAATCATTATTTTTCTCTAACATATTTTATATTTAGCATACAAATATACTATTTTATATGAAATTGAGTTGTTTAATAAATTTTCATCATTCTAGTGAATTATTGTCGTACTTTTCCTCCTATGCAATGTGAGAATATGTGTGAATATTAACATATTGGTTGAAGTTTTTACGAGAAATTATTATTCATGGATAATCGTTGATACCTGAAACCCGAATGGATATGAACATAATTTTTATTTTCAACCCATTTTTATTTGTGTATATGAATATTAAAATGAGTAAAACACGAACTACTGTAATGGATATATACTATCCGCTGCTGACTCGACCCGTTGCCAGATTGAACCAACGATCAACGACCCCTTAAAAGCAAATATAAAGAGATGACTGGAGACAAAAGGAAGAGAAAAATGATGAAAGTAAAATAATAATATGGGGAAAGAAAAAGAGAACTGAATAGACAGCGGAAACATCAAAAGTCAACTGGAAAGCAAGCCAAGTAGTCCTTTTGTGGCTGCCTTTTAAGATAAAAACTAAAAATGGCTCTCGCTTCCCGTGCTTCGTTTTCTTCTTTGCCTGCAAAGCCTCCCCGAGCACCCAAATGCACACGACGAACCCCCTCTTAAAGGAAAAGCCAACAGGGCGGCAATCAATCATCTTCTAACATAAACAAAGACCTGTTAACCCGACCTTCAATTCCTTCTTCCGTCGCAGGTATCCTTTTCTCTCTTGTCGCCCGAATAAAGAAATTCACAAAATTCTTGCCTGCAAATGCTCTTGCTTGTTTTTCCCCGTTCCACCTCTTTCTCTGTCCCCTATTTTTTATTCTCTGCTCATGCGTAAAGCTAATTAAGTAAGCCGAAGAAGCAGACACAAACAGCGAAAGAAACCTTTTTTCGACCACCCTAAGAACCACTGTTTCAGAGAACTCAAGGAGGAAGAAAGCAACCAAAAGACGCCATTTTGGACTCGGAATTAGACCGGGAAGAGGTAGTTCTGCTGTACCCAATTCGTCGTTTGTCCATGGTTGTTTGCGCTGTGATTTTTTCTTGCTGCTCTGTCTCATTCAGGGTTTTAGATCCTTCGATGGTCTGCATCAGGTTTCAATTTCGTGTCTATTTTCATTTCTGGTGATCGAGGTTCTTTGTTCTGATGGTTTTGCAGGCCGTCGATTTTGGCGAGGTGGGTTTGTTCCATAATTTGGTTTGGGGGTTTGTACTGGTTGTGGATGGTTAGAATTTGATCGGGCAACTTTGAATTGGTGGTGCGCTCGCGCCCAATTCGTTTGCTTGTATGGATAGTTTGTGCTGTTTCAATGCTTCTTACTCTCAGGTGAAGATGCTCTTCCTTTTCTCTGGTTTTTCTCTTTTTGGTATTGTTAAAATGAGGAGTTCTGGTGTTTGGGTATCTTCACAGAATTATCTGGTCCTTGAGTCCAATTGAGGAATTCTGGGACATACAGGAGATGGCTGTCAATCTTGAGGGTGTTGGTGGCCTCTAAAACCGCTACTCTAGTTTGTTTATATTTAACACTGAAAGTTCAGTCTTGAGCTCTATAGAAGCTTACGTCCCTAACGTAGAGTAGAGTATAGTAGAGTAGAGTAGTTCGTCACAGCTGATGGTTCCCGTATCCATTTTGGAAAAGTAGCTTGGCAATGTTATGTGGTAGTACTTATTAGTTCTATCTAAAAAAAATCCCCTTTCAGATAAAGACACTCATATTTTCCACTTCTGATACTTCAGATTGTTGGAGGGCGTTCTTCTTCTAGCTCCGGTAGGGGGAAGAACCATGATGGTGTAATCAAGTTTGGCTTCAGCCTGGTAAAAGGGAAAGCAAATCATCCCATGGAAGATTATCATGTTGCAAAATTTGTTCAGATTCAAGGGCACGAGTTAGGGCTCTTTGCTATTTATGATGGCCATTTGGGTGATGGTGTACCTTCATACTTGCAGAAAAACTTGTTCCCCAATATCCTGAAGGAGGTCGGTCTCGTTGCTACTACTTCCACAGTCTCCTTATTGTTGTAAGTTCAAAAGCTCTTTCATCAGGGAGCTTGCATTCTAACACTCGAGTGACTTTTGATTATTCCAGGAAGAGTTCTGGGCTTTTCCAGATAGATCTATCTCTAAAGCCTATGAAAGGACAGACCAGGATATACTCTCCCAAGGCTCAGACTTGGGGAGAGGTGGGTCTACAGCTGTTACTGCAATTTTGATAAATGGCCAAAGGTTGTTGGTAGCTAATGTTGGGGACTCGAGAGCAGTTCTTTCAAGAGGTGGTCAAGCAGTACAAATGAGTATAGATCACGAACCTAGCACCGAACGAGGAAGTATCGAGGACAGAGGCGGCTTTGTTTCAAATATGCCAGGTCTTTTCACGGTTCATTATATCAGCACCTCGTTGAAATAGTCTTTATCAAATTATTAAGTTACTGAACATTATCTATGATAATTAGGTTAATCTCCCTTCTTTTGCCACTCTGGTGTATATATTGTGCGGTAACTGAATGCCTTTATGCAACTCAGAAATAAGAAAATGTACCCTGCCTTTTCCGGTAAGGTTGCTCCTTGATACTGTATGCAATGAAAACAATCTAAACCAAAACAAGGTAACCAAATTCAGAGGTTGCCCCAGTCTGAAAGATAACTGGAAGCTTACAACCCAAGTTTTCAACTCAATAATGCCTGTTCTCCTTCACTCTTAATGACACCATGCATCCTTGAGTTGTATCCTACAAATGAAGTTCTCTTAGACCTTTGAAATTCTGTGTTTGGGTTATGGTGAATTGTGTCTCCCTATGAATGCTGACCTGAGGAACTAGGAAAAGGACATGGCTGGTCGTGCTCCATTTGTATATGAGCCAATTGGTGTGAATAATGAAAGAATGCTTAAATCTTCCTTTCTATGGTTTTTATGGTCAAAAGGTATTTAATCACAAATGCCAATTGCTCTTACTGGGTGTTGGAACTTGAATTGGCCTTAGCTTGGTTCAGAGAGCAATAATCTGGAGACAAAATTAAAGAAAACTTAATTGACATGATTATCTTTCCTTTTTTGTACGTTTCATAGGAGATGTCCCGAGAGTTAACGGACAGCTGGCAGTTTCTCGCGCTTTTGGAGACAAAAGCCTCAAGTCGCATCTCAGGTCAGATCCAGATGTCCGAGAATCCAGCATAGACAACAGCACGGATGTTCTAATCCTTGCCAGTGATGGCCTCTGGAAGGTAAATCATACCAGATGGCTTTAGCCTTTAGGTCTTCTTGTATGCTGAATAGTAGGGCATATGTTGATACAGAATTTGCTTTATATTTGTTCTTACCTTCAATAATCCTCCAGGTTATGTCTAATCAAGATGCTGTTGATATGGCAAGAAAGATTAAAGACCCACATAAAGCAGCAAAGCAGCTAACAACTGAGGCACTGAAAAGAGACAGCAAGGACGACATATCTTGTGTCGTTGTTAGATTTAGAGGATAAAGTTTACCCGAAAAAAGGCGTATCAATTATCTTCCAGGTATCATCCAAGTTTCCCATAAATACTAAACTGATTCTCTTCACACGGATATCCAGATGACAAGTTCATTTTTATGTATTCCGTTTGCCGTGGGTGGCGGGGAAGTGGTTCTCTCTGTAAATTTTCACCTTCTGTTCATGGTAGGTTCTGGTGGCTTTGATATTGTTTGACACCTTAGTGACATTGAATTTGGTGAAAAGAGGAGGGGGAGAGAGAGAATAGGGTGTACATTGTTGCTGCAAAATATTCATGTATCCTTGTCGATTCAATCAAGAATTTCTTCCGGGTTTGGCTTGCAAGTGGATATGAACAGTATTTATGACCAGCAAGTTTTTCTGATCATGACATTACTGTTCCCGTTAGGAAGTTGGTTTCCATGTCTGATTTGGATTTCTTCTTATCCATTAAGTAAATGCAAATGCTTTCTCTTGTCAACCACATGTTGCTTTTGAGTAGTTTCCAGATATGGTTGTCATGCTAGTTGTATATCAGCCGGTTGAACTAGGTCCAAATGGTATCGATCATCAAACCGGCTGGAATATCACTGGCATGATGTTTCAGTCAATACATGTTCATTTCAGTCAAAATTGGTCAATTCCCGGAATACCATTGGTTCAATCGGAAGGCTAATTTCCGGATGTTGCTTGTTATGGCGTCATTTACTCGCTTTCACTACTGAGATTGTAAAAAAAAAAATACGGTTCAGTTTGCTCAATTTGCTATTCGTCGCCAACGATTACTTTTTTCGTTCAACAATGATAGAAACCTATTTCTAGGGTTCTATCAGTTGGGTTGGAAAATTGGGATTTAGGAATTTAAAGAACAGAATTTGGGATTTGAGAATTTGGGGAAGAAGAAGAAAAGAATAAAAATCGGCTGAAGCCTTTGATTAAGGAAGAAGAGAAATTAGAAGATAGAGAGAGCTTAGATTTTGGGAAGATAATTCTTCTATTGATTTCAACTTAACCGAACAAAAGACCCAAAGTACATATTTAAAACGAAAGGTGGGAAAAACCTAATAGACTATCCTAATATGACTCAAATACGACTAACTATATCTAATAATATCCTACAAATACTATTAATGATAATTATGATATAACCCGGAAATTAGGTTTCTATCAAACAATGGACTCCTTTTTCCCCACCTATTGATGATATGATTTTTCCACCCTGACCAGAATCGCCAATTCCCTGACCAGGGAATTTGAGGGTGACCGAGGTATGCCAGCTGAAAGACCCCCAATAAGCTTTGTTAAATCCCAATCGGGAATTGAGGCCCGGGATTGGGCCTAGACGAGTTAGTTACTTTTTTGTTTTAGGATTCTTTTTTATGTGTTTTCATTAGTTTTATTTTCCATACCTATTTAAAGGGTTTTAAAACACGAATTTGAGAAGATTATGTTGAATAGAAAAATCCTTTTTGGTTCATTGAGTTTTTACTCTTGAATTCGCTCTTGTGAATTGGTGGTCCAATTTCCTGAGTGTTTGTTTTGTATCAATCAAGTATTCACTTTGATCGTGGCCGAGCTTCGACCCTTATATTGTTCAAGCCTTCTCTTAGGTGTGAGATTGGACGTCAATCCCGTCTTTTTTTTTTACTTTTCATGTTGTTGAGAGAAAATTCAGAAAAAATGCAAAAAAGATTATGACTGGGAGACTTTGATAAAAAGAATTCATGAGCTCGGGATCTTATCAAGTGTTATAAGAACCCAGTTCAAATCAATGGCAAAGAGAAGTTCACAAGCTTTCTTTAAGCTTATGCAATGGCGGAAGAGTTAGAGCAACAAGGTAACTTGTTCTACACCCGTTGCTTGGTCCAAGAGAAATTGTGTTCTGTGGTTGTTGATGGAGAGATCAATCCAATTTGATCAGTTCAAGGACAGTTGCTAAGTTAGGGCTAACTACACAACGTCATCCTAGCCCTTTTATGCAATTGTCGAATTAAAAGGCCTTGGTTTTTGTGACTAAACTAGTGTCTTTGGATATCAAAATCGGGTCTTAAGTGGATCAAATTCAATGTGATGTGGTGCCTATAAATCTTACCCATGTGGTGCTTGGTAAACCATGGCACAATGATTTCCAAGTACAACAAAGCAGCAACACCAACATGATCATCTTAAGGCATCAAGAAAAGAAACTTGACCTGAAGTTATTATCGGTGGAAGGGGTTGCTAAAGATAGGAGGCAATTACATCAGACCTATGATGAGGAGCTCAAGTGATGAACTACGACGACTTGAGCTTTGAAGTTCATGGATTGGAACCCTTGTTTGCCAAAGCTATTTGAGCCCTTGATTCCATGGCATTGTGGAGATTGTTTGTTCTTTCTTATTTATGATTATGCGGGAAATTTCGTTTGGAGGCTAAGCTGGGAAACTTGTTTGGATTGAGAGCTTTGTGGATTGCTTGAGTTCGAATGGGAGGATGATGCATGGAGTCTCACTCAAGTTTTGAGGGCAAAACTTCTTTAAAGGGGAGGGACGGATATGATTCTATCTCCCCACCACAATTATCAATTCCCGGCGGGGGAATTTGAGTGGTGATCGAGGAATGCCAGTAGAAGGACCCCCGATTAGCTTTGTTAAATCCCCGACCGGAGATTGAGACTGGGAATCAGGAAAGAAATGAAAAGAAAGAATTCAAAAGAAGGTTTTGGGTTTTTACCATGTTTCATAGAATGAGTGCTTTAGTTTAAAAAAATGGTACACATTAATATAAATTAGTTTGTATTTATAATTTTTTTTAAATACAAAATAATTTTGAATATTAATGTTATGATACAAATAGAACTTGTACTTTTAATATCATGGTGCAAGTTAAATTTGTACCTCGAAATAACAATATTTATGCTCTGTTCACAAAAGAGAGGAAGAAAGTTGGGTAGGAGAAGGAAAATTTGGAGAGAGAAAATTTGAGGGCAATAAAATTAGGGCTCGGAAAATAGACAAGACCGTTTGAAAAATCATGAACCAAACCGGACCGCACAGTTTGGTCCGAACCGTAGACCGTTAAGAATGCTCTGGTCTGTATTATATGATGTTTTGATCTCTTGGTCTGGTCCATACTGCGGTTTACCGAACCAAACCATGGACCAGTTGACTTCCCAATACGTCTTAGCAACCCACTCGATCACTCTCTCAATTACCCCTACGAGACCCAAGTCTTAACCCTAATTTTGAGAATCTCTTCTCCTCCTTCATTCACAACCACATTTTATCAAAGAGTAGAGACTATGGTGTCTCTATATAACATAATGTTAATGTTTATGAAGTTATAGTACAAGTTGGGATGCTTTTACTTTGTATCTTTGTTATTTACTAAGATTTAAAATATCAAATTTATGCTTCATGTTGGAATTCAAACAACTTTCTTCTCGGTTAATTGTTCAATCTTTCGTGTGGTTAACTATTTTTTATTTATTTTTCGTTCAATGTGGTCTGTCTGGACAAGTTCGCACATGTGTGGTCTGGTCTAGACCGTATAGTATGCGATCTGGTCTCTATTCTAGCTTATTGATTTGAACCATAGATTGTTTCCCAGGCCTAAATAAAATGACGATGAGAAAGTTGTATACAATTTCGAAGGAGAAAAGATATTCAATAAGAACCAAAATTTGTTTTCACCAAATTGGAAGCAACTGCTATAGTAACTTTGCTCCAAATAACCACTTTTTGTATTATATGAAAACTTATGAACAAAACAAAGTTATGAATATCTCCAATTTCCTTCCACTTTTTCCCTACTCTTTATTTTTCCTCTTTCATAAACCGGGGGTTAGAGTATAGTAGAGAGTTTTTCAACAGAATATAAGTGTGAACTAAATTTTCTTGTTGGGTAAGTGAACTTTGAAATGTGGGTAAATTAAATAACAGTTTTTTAATAAATTTGAACTAGACTTGTTGGTAAGATTTTAATCCTTCCTAAATTAATGATTTACACATAATATAATAGCACAATGAAGAAAATTATTGTTTCGTTTCAAATTTCATGCAAAGAGAGTTAAAGTAGGAAGGATATTTGTTGTACCTTTTTAAATTAAAAATATAAACAAACCTAAAATATGAAAACTTATATCTTTTCAACAATTAGTTGGCCACGAAATCTCCTGTAAGTACTTATGTGTTTTGATACTTTGATTTTCATACATTTATTACTTTATTGTTATAGTTTAATACTCAAATTTAAATTTCTATATATCTTATAAGTATATGTTAACCCTAAAATTGCAGCCCAAATATCAATGGGTCGAATATTGCATATCGAATTACAATATTAAATAGATAAAAGAGGTGTCAAATTCTTAAATTACTATTAGTTTTCAAAAATACTATGAAGCAATCATATCTTTGTGCCAACTATATGGGACTGGTTCTTTTAACGTTTTAGTCAGGTCAACCGCTACGTTTAAACCAGTTCCTGATCTGTCATGATTGGATCCAAAGATCATTATAAGAGATTGAGTGTAATAGGATGGTGACTCGTTCTAACTACAACATCCCAATCGAATGCTAAGTATAACCGCCGACCGGTTGTAGCAAAGGGCAAGCAAGCAATAACAATTTATCGTACCACGGGGATCTAGGCTTACCCTACTTTAGGTTTAGGGTTAGTTATCTAGCCAACCTAGGATAGTGATTGATAGAATTAAACTAACTAACCTAGACTAACCATTAACCTAGCTATTTACAAGGTTGGGAGCTCTCTTGGGTTGAATCGTCCTAGGTCCGTTCTTTGGATCGATGTTGGGTATCCTTCTAGCTCGATCGACTCAAATACACTACTGCTTGGAGATGGACACCCTCGGGAATGACCCGGAACGACGAATCAATGGATGAGTAGTGTTCTATTCAACCTAGGGTATCGTATATTGCTAGGAGACCGGTCGAATCAACTCCCTCGGTGACTACCCGGACAATATACGATAGGAGTGACCCGAAGACGCCAAGGAAGGGGCTCTAAGGGGATTATGCACTCCTAGGTCAAAAGCTCAAAGCATGAAAATGGAAGCCACATTCATGTCATTCAAGAAAACATCCATCAATCAAGTAAAATCAACAATCAAACTAGGGATTTTGTCACATACATCAACAATAAACCCAAAACTAGACCTATGGTTCTTAAACCCAAGAGAAGAGGGTGAGTTTCTAGAGAGAGAGAGAGGAGAGATTACAAAGAAACCCCAATATTTTCTTCTTCTTCTAGGCTTGATTCCTAGCTTCCAAATTTGATCAATGCCTTCAATTAAGCTCCAAGATCACTCCCTCTCTCACTAGAACTCCCTTTTGGTGTTTTGGGTTGAAACCCTAGAGAAAGAAAGTGTTCCTTCTCCAAAAACCAGCTCCTCTTTCTCTCTCCCCGCTGTTGTCTTCATATTTGCCCGAAAGTGACCAATTCATGGCCGCGTTGGTCAGTTCACGGCCGTGAACACCTAAA